AACGTAAGCCATAGCGAAAACTATAGGAATCTTGTTAGGCGATTGGCGCCCAGGCAATGGGTTTTGATGAGACCAGTGGGGCCAACTGATAGCTCAGCGGATGAGTTCTGATCAGATAGTCTGGCGAGGGAGTAGCTTGACCTGGAAAATCTGGGATCCTGGTGGGCTGATGAGCCAGTTGATTGAATGCGCGAGCAGAGATCCCTGCGTGGTCACTTTTGAAGTTAACCTAAAACCTAATCTAACCAACCACAAAACAGGCGCGGTCGCAGCCTGAAATTTTGGTGGGGTCGCCGAACAGCTTGTACAGCAAAGGAATGGTCATAATAGCTGGTGCGGTTAACAGGCATCGTGAGGGTCAGATTTTCTGATGACCTAAGCGCTTTCGCTTAGGGGATTTTGTTGAAACTTAAAAAGTTCTTTGAGATAGCGCGGGGGAGAGGGATTAAACAAAATATTGTAAAGGCGTGCTAGTGATCATATTTGCGCAAGCCAAATATAAATCTGATACAGAAGTTTTGGAGTCGCTCAAGTTTATTTAGCTGTTCCTCCGTTATATCCAAATAGCAGGAGTCGGCGTAGTCTAATAAAGGAAGCAACAGAGATTGTGCTAGCGCAATTTTAGTGGCTGTAGGAAGAAATTTGCGCAATCTTCTGAGAGACGCCGCTGACGCATATAACTTGCGACTTACCGACTGCAACTATGGACCCCAACTTAAAGTATTGTCGCTGGTGACCTAAATTTCTAACAGATAAACTGTACGGAAGATTAATTTCAGCAAAATTGACCATAGGGAGAGTGTTTAGGATAACCATCATTTTAGAACAACTGACCACGATAGCCTGTGATTTTGCAGGATTTACTATAAGACCGAAAGATTTGCACCAGTCAGCGATACGTTCTAAATCTAAAGAGATAGTTGATATTACCTCATTTAATTGAGAAACGGACGCTTGGCAATACAACTGGAGATCATCTGCATACAAGAGGTAGGACGATAAAGGTTTTGAGAAATGGAGTTAATTATCACGGAAAATAAAAGAGGAGATAAGACGCCGCCTTGTGGTACGCCAGCAGTACGTACCAAAATGAGAATTTCTCACCCAAGCGTACCCGCTGCCTGCGTCCATACACTCGATTACCGTTGGAGATATGTTAAAAGAGCTAAGGAGTGATAAAATAATGTCCAAATTTTCTGTATTAAAGGCATTACTGAAATCTAATAATGTAAGTACCGTTAGGAGGCCCTGTTCCATACCCAGGCGAATATCATCAGTGATTTTGACAAGAGCGGTAACAGTACTATGCCCAGGTCGGGAGCCGGACTGAAAGGGGTTTTGGAGATCATATTTGGAAAGGAATGAGCTTACTTGGTTATGTACAAGATGCTCAAGTGCCTTGGATAGGGAAGGAAGTATAGAAATGGGACGGAATTCGGTGACACATTTAGGTAATCCAATTATAATAAAACAGATGTTCGTCACTTTTCATTCCAAGTACCGAATGACGTCTTCTTCTTCCTCGTGACTGAGGTTTGTGACAGCATGAGGCTATTCCGTGTGTTGGAGCTCCATGTTCTCCATTTTATTCAGTCGGCTATCCAGATAGACGGTTCATGTCTGCATGTCTGTTTGGCAGGTCTCTGTACAGCATCGGTCCATCGTCTTTATGTCCAGTTTATTTAGGAACGAAACGTTAATGCGATGCGCTGTCCACGGGATCCATAATATTCTCTGCCATCACCACATCTCAAATGTGCATTATTTTGTTTCGAACACGTGCCTTTAGTATCTCTAAAGCATATTAAGCATACATTTTCTATGAGATTGGCACTGTCTTTTTGGTTATTCTTTTGTTCCTCCAAATTCATCTCTGATCTCTGAGTTTAACAGCTGATTTTAGTAATTTAAGCTCTTCTTACTACTCTCATAGTCTCGATCTGTAGTTACCATTGAATCGAGGTAAATAAACTCCTGTAGAGTTTTCAGGTTTTTGCACGTTTTTTTTTCAGACCATATTCCGCACTTACACTCTACATTTTGCTAAAGTTTGTCATGTTCATTATCGCTAGCTACAATAATGTTGTTGTCATCTGCAAAGTGAAGTATTTGATGTAGCTAGTGTCAGAGAATCTTTATGCTGCCATCCGAATAAAATTCTCTGCACTTTTCAATAATCTGTCTTATGATAAAAATCTGCTTTTTGTCCTCAAAAGTAAATTTCTTATCGGCTTTTGACCGACAGTTTTCAAATACCTCATGGAAATTTTCTTTACTATTGTTGTTACCAATGCAAAAGAAATAAAAAGAGCGCGAGGCATTTGAAAACCTTCGACGGTCAGAAATAATAAAATGAAAACAAAAGCGATAGCGATAACCATAGCAATCACGTTAGGCGGTTGGCCCCTTAGTCTTAGTCTTAGTAGTACGGCGGGCTGTTTCCGCAACTCGACACCTAGTGCCTATTTTGCGTGGGGATTGGCTTCAGTCCTGCCATCCCAGCTCCTCCAGAAAGCTCAGCAGTCCCCGAATGTTGCTGCAGGCCTCTACTATTGTCTTCGGGCTTCCCATTAGAGAAGTCCTTTGTCTTGCAACGCCCCTGCACTCCAGTAGGACATGGGCGCTCGTCTCATCCGCCTCCAGGCAAGCTCTGCACAGAGGGCTGTCAGAAATACCTATATTACAAAGGTGTTTGTTGAAGTAGCCGTGACCCGTGAGTATACCCACGATTTGTTTCAGGGCTTGTCTAGGTAGTCTGATTAACTTACGTGTTAGCTGCAGGTTTACGTTTACGTTTACGTTAGGCGATTGGCCCCATGTGTTGTCGCGGACAAGGCCGCGCCGTGCAGGGTTACCAAACGTATGAGAACTGTGACATTTGAGATTTAGCAGTCTCTATACATGTATGAGGTATATAGAAATCTCGTACACTTTGATATGAGATTTGAACAAAGTTGACTGTTTGTATCATGCACACAAATAAAAACGTTATCAAAAACTTTTTAAACAAAAAATAAAACCGACTTCAAAATCGAAAATGGAACTAAAAAGTAAAAAAATATATCTGGTTCATGATTTGAAAGTCGGGCCGGGCGGGTCAAGTTTGAAAGACGTATTATTACCGATCAGAAACGAAAATCTATTTAATGTTTCAGTCTTGTCCCACCCGACTTCCAAATCATGAACCAGATATTATTTTTTACTTTTTAGTTTCATGTTCGATTTTGAAGTCGGTTTTATTTTTTGTTTAAAAAGTTTTTTTTTATCCATTTTAGTGATAATTACATCGGTACAAGAGAAATGGGTGAAAACATCGTGCGTGTCTTTGAATCATCGTGCGCGCCTTTGAAATTTTAAGGTTTCCCTCGATTTCTCCGGATTCCATCATCAGATTCCGTCTTGGTTTCAATGGGACCACCTCGGAAGTGCACTCTTTGAATATAAAAAAATTCATATGTTGCCGTCTCGTTCACCTTAATGTTACGAGTTACTAATGTGGTAGTGAACAAAAAATACGTAACTTCCTCTAAGTTACGTATTTTTTGTTAGCGTTCACTAGAGGAAGAACAGTAGTTTGAAATTTGTGTCAATTTTCTTTGGTCTGTTATGTAATGGAGTGAAATTAAGATAATAATCAGGCTGTTTTTACAAATAATTAGAGAGAGAGTCCGGTACTTAGTAATCATATCATCTCTTGAACATTCGTAAACACTGCATATTATTAATAATCGCAATCATCTATCCCAAACACAACCAATCGTAAACAACCTGCATGTTATTAATAGTCGCGGTCACCCATCCCAAACCCTACTAATCGTAAACAACCTGCATATTATTAATAATCACGGTCACCCATCCTAAACCCAACTAATCGTAAACAACCCGCATATTACTAATAATCGAGGCCACCCGTCCCAAACCCAACCAATCGTAAACAACCTGCATATTCATAATCATGGTCACCCATCCTCAACCTGACCAATTATAAATACCCTGCACTTTCAGAATATCAAAAAAAAAATACACCGAAACTATCGTTAATTCATAGTTCTTGATAAATATTGAAGTATCGTGAATGAAAGTAAGATCAATCGTAAGATAATGATGATGAATTTGATGATTGAAAGAACAGCAGCCACGTCTTTAGGGGCGTGGCCTAACAGTTTTTGAAGTTATACTTCTTTAGGCGCGTTATGAAAAAATGATGAGAGTGAAATTTTAAGATGCGCGCGCATCACTGTAACACAAAAAATTAACATGCTGTTACTTTTGTGTTTACCGCACATTAAGCAAATCTACCAACAAAATAGAATCTCTTTTTAGTGGGTGCTAACGACTGCATTGTGAAGGCCTATCAAAAGTATTTATTAATCTGGAACAACGGAACCAAAGCGCGATTCAGGAGACTACAGCGCCATCTCTTGACCATTGGTGTAGTAGAACCAAAAACCACATCTTTATTTTTTGTAATAAAGTAACAAAAAGTATTTATTAATCTGGAACAACGGAACCAAAGCGCGATTCAGGAGACTACAGCGCCATCTCTTGACCATTGCTGTAGTAGAACCAAAAACCACATCTTTATTTTTTGTAATAAAGTAACAGTTATAGGTATTCATATTTATAATATTTATCCACATGTTTCTAGTTTGTATATTCGGAATACGTGTTTGAGTTTCATACAAGTGCAAATCACATAATAATGTTGTAATAAATTATATTCAGTAGCGATTTTAATTGAATATTTTGATTATTTATTTATTTTTTCAAATTAAAACTGAACTTTATTGACTGTGTCCTTTTCCAGACTTTTAATTAATTTATTGTAATTAATTATTTGCATACAATTAAAATTTTAAACGATGCCAAAGAAGAATAACTTCTCACGCGCCTACATAAGTACACGCACCCATTTTTTTATCAAAAAACAGGCACAGCGGACTGGTTATATTGCTAACATGTTTTGTTTCAAAAAATATCTTTAACTTAAAAAAAGCATTATGAAAATACGTATCTTGTGGAAAAATGACAGGTTCCTGTGGGATTCTGAAAAAACTGAAGTAAACGCCGACGAAGTCACGGGCGCTAGTAAATGTTTAAAAAAATATGGTAAAATCTCTAGTTATAATTTGCTAAATGAAGATAAGGCGGTTTTTTTAAAAGGTATTTTGGTGTAAAATAATTTTTAATCTGGCGGACATTAGAAAATTACTTGTGGCAACCCTTTTTGTGTCACTCACTGTGTATAATTTTGAAGTTTTGTTTATGTGGGCTCCATCGCATGTTGGTGTAAAAGTAAATGAAAGGGCTGACTTTTCAAGGGAAAACGAATATGACGTATGACCGAGCGTGCGTGAGATGCATTCGTATTTTATTTCTTTTTTATTTAAAGAATAATAATGGCATCGGAACAAAAAGAATTCCTTTTAATTGATGAGGTGAATAAAAAAATGGGTGTACTTATGTAGGCGCGTGAGAAGTTATCCTTCTTTGGCATCGTTTAAAATTAGTTTTAATTGCATGCAAATAATTAATTACAATAAATTAATAAAAAGTCTGGAAAAGGACACAGTCAATAAAGTTCAGTTTTAATTTGAAAAAATAAATAAATAATCAAAATATTCAATTAAAATCGCTACTGAAAATAATTTATTAGAACATATGTGATTTGCACTTGTATGAAACTCAAACACGTATTCCGAATATACAAACTAGAAACATGTGGATAAATATTATAAAAATGAATACCTATAACTGTTACTTTATTACAAAAAATAAAGATGTGGTTTTTGGTTTTACTACACCAATGGTCAAGAGATGGCGCTGTAGTCTCCTGAATCGCGCTTTGGTTCCGTTGTTCCAGATTAATAAATACTTTTTGTTACTTTATTACAAAAAATAAAGATGTGGTTTTTGGTTCTACTACACCAATGGTCAAGAGATGGCGCTGTAGTCTCCTGAATCGCGCTTTGGTTCCGTTGTTCCAGATTAATAAATACTTTTGATAGGCCTTCACAATGCAGTCGTTAGCACCCATTAAATAATAGAGATTCTATTTCTATTTTGTTGGTAGATTTTCTTAATGTGCGGTAAACACAAAAGTAAAATTTTGCGTTACAGTGATGCGCGCGCATCTTAAAATTTCACTCTCATCATTTTTTCATAACGCGCCTAAAGAAGTATAACTTCAAAAATATTCTTTATTCGCACTATTTTTAATATTTCGTTGATTTATGACGTCAGTGCACTGGCCAATATATTTCGGAACAATTCACCAGTATAGCGTCGATTCATTACGTGTCGCGTCGTTAGCACTGGCCAGTATACTGGTATATATTACGGAATACACCACATGTTATTCCTGATTAAAATGCTCACCTTAATATCTCTGTGCCATGTACAGACATAGGTGTCGATTCTGGCGTGATTCTCTAAACTTAAAACTAAATTTAACATCAATCTCTCCTTTTCTTTCCGTATAGAGAATGACAAGGATACACCAATTCTCTGTCTCTGTTTTGAAGAAAAGGGCCATTGACATATGAAAAAGGCATTGGAATTACACTACATACAAAGTGAAAATAAAAGTCTGTGGTATGCTGTATACAAGGTCCTTAATGGAACTTCGCCATATTTCTGTAAAAGTCCTAGCTACATCAATAGAAAATTTTATACCACTATACTTTGGCTCCGTTTTGGACACTGACGTTTAAATTTTTATCTCTTTCGTTTAATAAGTTTGCCGAGTTCACATTGTAATTATTGTGACTCTGCATTAGAGCAGTCTTTGTCTCATGTGTTCTTTGATTGCTCATCCTTTGGCATTCAGCGCCTAGTGTTGATGGATGAGCTTATCGAAATAAATGGCCAATCAGAGATGGTTCCGCGCTCTATTCAGGATCTTCTTGTAAATAGCTGTACTTATTTAGCTTTATTTAAATTTATTATTAGCACTGTACGGCAAATTTAAAATTTTAGGTAATGTCATAAGTTACTCATTATTTTGTTTTGTCTTTGTAAATATTTATGCAAGTGTTCAAATATTTTGGTACTTTCTTTATAACTATTTGAAATATTTTTCTTTACATAGGGTGAAATGCTGCGGGGTATGCGCTAGCATCACTTTAAGTTTGTGTGCGGGGTTCTGGGAATTGTTGTCTTCTGTCATTATGACGTTCAATTAATTTTGTTCTTTAAAAAAAACATATTTTATATTAAGTATTCTTCAATATAAAATAAACAAAAAAAAACTTATTCTAATAAACTATATGGTTTTTTGGAGAAAAAAGAAAAAAAACCGAAGATGAGGCTGTATGGGCCTTAGTTCCTTTGGCCTTACCTAAAAAAGGGAGAATAATTTAAAAAAAATCACTGTTTGTCAGCTGTTTGTCTTTGTCTCTGTGTATATTTGATTTGGAATACATAGGTACTTAGGTTGCTGAAGGTTATTTTACAGTTAAATTCACAAATTATTTAAGTAAATTGGATAAATTTCAGTAAAAAGTTAGAATATTATACTGCGATGATTTTATCAAAGGCCACAATTTCATTAGTGTGTATATTACTTTTAGTTTCCATATTTATGGCCAATTTATTAAACATTATTGCGACAGATCACAATTTTTACCTAGAAAACAAGAAAGACGGGATAAATCAAACTAAATATTTAAGTAAAAAATACGGTCAGATAACGGATACTACCCAGAATATAATTTGGTTTTTACAAGTAAGTTTTATGTTTAGATTTCATGACTGAATATATACCTGAAACAAAGCAGACAATCTGTATAAGACGACGATAGAAGGTTAGAACGATAAGGGTGACATGGTCTTTATTAGACAAAACCCTTTAAAAAAAAAACAGAAAAAAAGCAGACAAAAGTTTTCCATCGTAGCCTCATTCTTTGTGTCTAAATGGCTTTATTGTTTCATTGACACTGGTTTTTGTTAGTTGGATAAACACTCCCATCACCAGATTCGATTTTTATTTAAAACATATCTGTATTATTATTCATAGAATACATTTTAAGCTAGTTCTTTACAAATTTTTAAAGATGAATTCTTGTTTTATTAATTTTAGCAATTAATAAATATTAAATTGATTTGCAAAATATTTGGTGGTGAATGTTAGTTTCTTCATTAAATAATATATGCTATAAATAAACACATAAAGTATATATCTTATAAAATTATTATTTTTCAGATATCTGACATTCATATCAGTATTTTTCGTGACCCTGGTAGAATAACACAATTCCAACAGTTTTGTGACAGCACTGTTAAAAAAATCAAACCTCTTGTGGTTCTGGCCACAGGTGATTTGACTGATGCAAAGGCCAAAGATAATTTGGGAAGTTCCCAAGTGGAAAAAGAATGGATATATTATCATAACATTATTAAGGAGTCTGGTGTCACAGAAGAAACATTGTGGTTGGATATAAGGGGAAATCATGGTAATTTTTAATATATATTAAAAATGTTAAATAACTTAGGTCTTATATATATTAATTTTTAATGTGTTAGCAAATATAAAATCAATATGCTTAGACATACATTTACTGGATCAATTATAGATCAATTTTATACCAATATGGTTATAATAATGCTGCATTTCAGAACACCTTTACATGAGAAAGCATTTGCTAGCTCGGTAAATGGAAACATCAGAGCAAGTGAATGAGTTCATACAGCCATGTAAGGACTTATGGAAGGAATGCTCTTTTGCTCAATCAATGAAAACCATGCAACATTGTTTTGAGCATTCCATTTACCGAGCTAACAAGTGATTGTTTCTTAGGTTTTCACGCACATCACTCATTAAATATAACTAGTTTTTATGGGTTAATGCACGAAACTTTATTTATTTATTGACATTTCGCATTATTCTGATGATGCAGACCTGAAAAGGCTGCGAAAAGTCAATAAATGCATTAACCCGTAAAAATTAGTTTTATTTAACAAGTGATTGCTCACACAGGTCAAAACGCCACATAAGGCCCTTTTTCCCTAAATCCAAAATGTAATAAAATGTTTCTTGAGTCATTCTTGTATATGTGTTATGGACCAAGTGATTAATGTGGGCAGTATTCATAATGCCAGGGCAGTATGAATAATGCCCAGCCATATCAGGCCAAGTGATTAATTACAATTTAAACTCACCTATTTATCACATTAACCGGCCATTATTAATAATGCCGGACGGCTCGTGGTCCATATAATAAGTCAGTGTTTAGAAAGCTTGAATTTATCGCTTGGACCGGGCAGTATGAATAAATTCAAAACGTTGGTACTATTGTCAAAATGACAGATGTCTCGCCATTTTGTGTTTGTTTTGAGATCTTGGTAAATAAAAAATAGTATGGGCTCAACACTTAGCAAAAAAAAGTAAATGTGGCTTTACAACAGCCTTTAATTCAGAACCAATTTGGTTAACCCCGACACGGCGGGGTCTTGGTCTGCCCTACCTCTAGAGTGTTTTTTAGAGCCCAGAGGCGTAGAGGGAAAGCATAAAACATGTTTTTATTATTACTCTACTTGATAATTGATTTCATTACTTGTAATGCTCGGTCTATGTTACTAAGTATTCATTTGTAAGTATTAATCATGCTTTACATCACTGCCCAATGGGCACTGGGCAATGTGATAATTTGATTAGTTATAATCACATTGCCCGCTCTTATTGGGCATTAATCATATTGCCCAGGCATTAGTCATATTGCACGGGTATTAATCATATTGCCCGGACATTATGAATAATGCCCAGTTTATCACTTAGCCCATAACTTATGTATAAAATCTTTCATCATCAATTTTTTTTTTACAAATAAATGATGGTATTCTCTGAAACGTTTCCTTTCTTTATTTATAGGATGTAAAGCTTATTTTACATTTTTAAATATACATTTTCTAACAAAACCAAATCATCGTCCGATAAGTCCGACATTTTGCTGTGCTTTAATTGGCTTCCTTTAAGTAGTAAGGATCAGAGCCGATAAGCGCTGATCGGCTTTCGGCTTTCTTTCTGTATACGACCTAAGATATAATAACATTCACAACTTCATACATAGGTATTAAAAAATTTATAGATTAATATATATTAATAATTTTAAAAAGAATAAAAATTCATAAAATCTACAAATGAATTTTAATAGAGTAGAATAAAAAGTCCTTATATCTCAACGAAAACCATTCAGCTGTATATGATTAAATAACAAATATAAATATAATAATTGTAAGTTTTAAGAATATAAGTAAAACTATAAGTAAGGTGGAAACAAGTTTTTACATATAGAATATGTAGGGTAGTTTTATTTTTTTTAAATTACTACTAATTTTAATAATGCGTAATTTTAATTTTTAGATAATTTTAATATCAAGACACTTAGTTCACAAGAAAACTATTTTCGTAATTATTCTGTACAAGGGTCTACACATGTGAAATCTTATGTGCACTATGAAGATCAAAATGGAGTGAATGTAGCATTTTTAGGAATTGATGCATGTCCTGAGCCAGGTCTTAGGAGACCCTTCAACTTTATTGGTATTTTAGATATACAAGAACAACAAAATATACAGAAATTAAAAGCTGAAGCTGATAGTAAAGCTGATCATATAATTTGGTTTGGTCACTATCCAACATCTTGTATATTACCTTTGAAAAGGGATGGTAAACATTTTGATTTACGACAATTGATTGGCAGCAGTAGAGCCTCACAGGTTTATGTTTGTGGACATTTACATGCTATGGGTGGTCTGGTACCCAGAATGTATACTAAACAGAAAAAAGGTTATTTAGAACTTGAGCTTGGAGATTGGAAAGACAACAGAATGTTTCGCTTAGCAGCAATTGACCATGGCATATTTTCTTTTGAGGATCAGAAACATAATAAATGGCCTCTTGTATTGGTCACTAATCCAAAACATGCAAGATATGCTATGTCTGGACGAGAGCCCATTCAACTGATTCCAGATTCCACTCATATAAGAATTCTTGCTTTTAGCGATGTTGAAATTGAAAGTGTCAAAATTTCATTTGATAAAATCAGTTGGATGAAATGTAGAGTTACTGATGGACCTCTTTATGTGTGTCATTGGTTACCTAATCTGTTTAGTAGTGGCATTCATTATTTGTATGTAACTGTGATTGATGAACATGGCAAAACAGCAGTCATAGACCATCCATTTTCTTTAGACGGAACTTTGGTTAATTTTGAAGTTACTCCAAGGATATTATTGATGGTTGATGCTGGTGCTGTAGTAAGTTCCATTTGTGCAGTCATATTTGTGTGTTTTTATTGGCGTCAACTAATCTCATATCGCCGTTTTTAGTTTCAGAGCGTATTTGCTACACTGCTGGTAATGAATGTTCTGCCTCTGGTAATATTGAGGCTTCAGAAACGGCCACCGAGATATCGCAGGAAATTAGGGAACTACGTTTTACGGCGAGTATGGCTACTGAGTAAAATAGATAGCTTATTCTATCCCATAGTACTATACGCTTTGTATGTGCCATTTGGACCATGGGTTGTGGGTGAATTGATAGATGGATATGTGGGTGTCATATTTGCATGGGGCATAATAATAAAAGGTGTATTTTTACCAGAACCTTTTACCTACATGTATGGAAGTGTTCAGTTGATGTTTGTGCAATTACCACTAATATTGGTTCTGGCATACTGTTTAGACACTCGGTTATTTAGCCCTAATACACGAAGAGTGAAAAGGTTGTTAAAGAATATGCCATTCATATTTTTACTGTCTATTCAGTTTCTTCTAGCATATTTCTTTTGGTTAGAGTATGGTACAATGGCTTTTTTGTTGGGACCACTTAGAACATGGAGTGTGTTTTTGAGTATACTGCTATGGTATAAAATATGGACTCTGCCTCCTGATTATTGCAGGTAAATAAATATCTATAAAACGATGAAAACATTCCTAAGGATCCCAAGTATACTAATGCTTTTTAATACAATGTTTGTTACAGAAAATTGATGAATTTAAATGACATGCCGTCATAGTAACAGCTAAATTGTAAGAAAGACGAAAATTATGAAGAGAATTTAGTATGATGGCTTTGGTGCACACTATGAAGCAAATACACAAAATTTAAATATTATTTATGTGTAGAAATAATGACACCTTATAAATGCGCAGAATAGATATTGTTTGGCTTGGAAAGAAACTTTTCTATTGAAGTAAATAAGTAAGTATTATTATGCACTCCGGCTAACTTCTTGAGCAACATCCATGGATAAAGAAGCCTGCACAGTAGCAATTTTACATAAAAGAAGGTCTACTGCGCAAGTTTGTTTGTCTGTGGTTTTGCTCAAGAAGTTTGCTGTTACCTTTACATACTTGGCTAAATTAACCACACCAAAGATAATCACAAATATACAAAAATAACACTTCAAATAGATAATTGTCTTATTATTAAGTATTATAAATAATTCCATAATTATTTTTTTAAAGTTCAGAACAACATTCTATTATATATTGGGAAATTAGAAAATAAGAGAGATTTGTGACAGACAAAGTTATTATCCAATATAGGTGTTGTTTGTTTGTCTAGTAACTGTTGATGATGTGAATAAGTACCTATCTATTTATTGTATTATGTTAAATTTGTTGTAATATGAACATGGCTTGTTAATTGGGTGCTTAAATTTTCGACTTTGTAATTAAATGTATTAAAGTCTAAAATATAAACCTTTTCAAATACTAAGTTCGGCCCGATTTTTGATTTTATTAGGGTTCTGTATCCAAATGATAAAAACAGAGCCCTAATACTAAGACTCCGCTGTCCGTTTTTCTGTCTTTCACCAGGCTATATGAGATGAACCGTGATAGCTAGACAGTTGAAATTTTCACATATGTTGTATTTCTGTTGCCACTATAACAACAAATACTAAAAATAGAATAAATTAAATATTTAAGGGGGGCCCCCATACAACAAACTTGTTTATTTTGCCGTTTTTTGCTCTACATTAATAACGGCAACAAGCAGAATCATGCCAGAAGCCACACCACTGGTGTCGATTCTGGTGTGATTCTCTATACTTGCAACTAAATTTAACATCGGTGAGGTCGATTCTGGCGTGATTCTCTAAACTTAAAACTAAATTTAACATCAGTCTCTCCTTTTCATTCTGTATAGAGATTGACTAGGATATACTATTGTCAAATTTAAGTTTAGGTTTAGAGAATCATGCCAGAATCGATACCAGTATCTCCTTTTCCTTCTGTATAGAAAATGACAAGGATACACTGTTGTCAAATTTATTTTAGGTGTAGTGAATAAAGCCAGAATCGACACCACTATCTTGCTAAATTAACCGCCCCGTCTCCTACCGAGTGTAGGATATTGGTGAAACCGAATTCAAGTGCTAATAAACTTGATAAGCTATCCTTATGCACAATAAATTAAGCTTCGAAGTCGATTTTACTTATGGCTGTGACATTTAAAAATATATTTTTTTATATACTCCATCAGAACTATCCATGGTAGGTTTTAGTTAGATTAGATGTGTTTACGAATACGAATTCCATTGTTTCATAATACGATTTGTCTATATAATCTATTTCATTGAATTCATCAAACTGAACTGAAATTTCGACTGATAAGACAAGTCAACAAAAAAAATAGTCTATTTTAAAAAATGATCTGATTGTTTGCATCGAAAAGAAACCAGAAACTTCTTTTTTAGTTAAAAAAGTTTGCCTTTGTACTTTATACACTTCTACTAATATATAAATAAATAAATAAGAAATCATAATCTGGTACACTCAATTCAGACTCAAAATTCCGTTGACTGATGTAATTTTTTTTTAATAAATAGTTGTGTTGTTTTGATTAGATTATTATTCAGCTCTTCAGTGACCCTGGATCTATTGAGATCTCTTGCGGTCCTCTTGTATATTTTTCATATTCGGGACGTGATGCTGTGATAACATGTATGGTGTTGGAGGACATATGACCTGACAATGAGAGTTTTCTGGAATGGCGAGCGCCAGGTGGCAACACTGAGACAATAGGTCTTCTCATCCGCCAAGTCACCTTGTAGTCATAGGTAGTCTATGGGTCAATATAAATCCTCGTTTAATCGAACGAGTTCGTGTCTAAAACTTATACGAAAGACCTCATGTCATAGTACCGCCAACTGATGGCGTAAATTTTCCTAAATACCCTCATTGTTGTATGTACTTTTTTATAGAGAGTTTTACATTTTGTATTTACAGCGTCGCGTCCTCTCAGGAACTTGCTTTATCTAAACCAAGTTTATTTAGTATCCACGGTACAAAATGGGTACAAAAATGTAGTAAAAATTGACGTGACGATCGGTGATGTTGCTGCTGAGATCACGTATAGATAGCGGCAAATTCTTGAGCTAAACCACAGACAACGGAGCCTGCGCCCGTATCAATTTTACATACAGAAACGTCTACAGCGCAAGTTTATTTGCTTGTGGTTTAGCTCAACAAGTTCATCTTAACTAACAGACATCCCTTTAAAAAAAGACAACATGAGAAAAAATATACAAATATTGCCTTTATTTATTTTATAAATTGTCTCCACTATAAAATATTACATTAATTAGCTTAGTACTTATTTTTAGACATTTTAACAATAATGCGTACATATTAATTTGTTTTTGTAGTAGTAATTATTTTGTTCCTATGTATCATATTATGTTATAAACAGCTTATTCAAATACCTTTTCATCCCACCACCTCGGAAAGTGTAATTTTGCGCTTCGAAATCTGGCTGGAAAATTCTATTTTATTCGCTTGAGCGGCAAAGTAGATTTGAATTTAGAACATCACATATAATGAGTACTCAATATAATTGTAAATTCAAAACGTCATTAAACCTATTTAATGTAACCTCTATGGTGCCAAATTTATGATTAGAACTTTTTAAATTGTGAAAAAATTTAAATTTGGAACCTTCTTGGTTTCTTTGTTTTATTTGCGTGCTTCGCGCCATTCTAGTTTTTCACGTTTTATTGCTTAAATATTTTGTCATTATAAATTGTTTTCTTTTTCATTTTGTCATTTCCTCGCTGAGGTGGGATGAAAAGTTACGTATTGCACTCGAGTGGAAAGATTTTTCACCTTGTGCTCGTTTGTTTCCCTCGCTGACGCTCAGGATTCTAATTTAGAATCACTCGCTGCGCTCGTGATTCAACTTTAGAATCCTTCGCTTGCTCGGTCATCCAAATCGAGCACGCGGTTAAAAAGGAACTTTCCACTCTTGTATAATAAATAACTATTTTTATCATAAATATTGAAGTGATAGAAACAAGAGTATTTTTATTGATCTACTGACATGTTATTGTAGATTTGTATATTGATATAGCTTTATTTTTACACCTTTAGAAGCTACAAAGTAATTTAATTTAGAGCCTTATCTAGTCTGTTATAGTTTAAAATGAAAGACATCGTGTTACTGGTTTAGCACATACATTGTATTTGTGTTTGTTAATGTACGAAAATGCGTATAACGCCGGCGCTTCACTTGTTTATTCGTGTTTGCTATTTGTAAACCTGCTAACAGTTTGTCTGTACTTATCATGCTCATGAAAAGGACAGACTGATGTCATGTTTACAAGTAGCAAACACGAATAGGCAAGTAAAGTGCCGATGACGATGTATGGAAATGTTTCTAGTATTCAGAATCCCATCCCATGACAGTTGATATCGTGTTTCGATTTTTAAAATAATACCACGAGTTCAGTTCGATATTGCGGGAGGATTTATAATGTAGTTTGAAATATAGAGCATATTTTATGAAATCCTCCTGCTACTAAGTTCAGTCTCTGAATAGTGATAGGGTTTATGGGACCTATTTTTGTATTTATAGTACTGTAAAGGTGTGGCATAACCGCAACCGTTCTCCTTGTTTATTTCCTCCATATTCGACCTTCTGCCACTACTAATTTAAAAATATTGGTTTATGGTTTTTATTTAAATTGAAATTAAAGTCAAGGCATTTAAAAAAATATTTTAATGTCAGTCCAGCAGAAATCCTCAAGCAGTTTACTATTTTTTACTTATTCATTATTGGTATACAATTCAAACATGTCCTATAGTTTATAATGGGCCCAATTCTGGCGTGCCAACTTATATCTAAAACTAACTAAAATTAGATATAGAGTTGTCAAATTCAATTTGGTATTCTGTAATGACACACTATCTCTAAATTTAAAATTGACGTCGCTAAGTTATTCAACTTAGATTTAGATGCTTAAATGGTATTCTGAAACGCGTTCTAAATGTCATATTTTCTCTAAAATTAGAAATGTCACACTAAATTTAAGAAGGACCTACGGAGGTCCTCTCTAAATTTAAATGTGAATAATTGGGGCCAAATATCACGTAAATGATTGCTGTACTTAAGTTTTGAACTTGATGCTAAGGTTGGGTATGGGTTTATTTCGTTAAAAACATAAATTTTATACAATAATGAACGACGACGGTGCGTGACGGTGATAATAATATATTAGCTAGATCTTTTAATTTTTTTAAAAAGTAAGGTAAGTCTATGTTACGGTTACGATGCGCATTTATTATAAGCCTATTAATGTGTCATGGCCTACTGCGGCTTAGTGGGGGATAACGACTGCAGATGCAGCAAGCAGCAACATAGGAACTCGATATAATACATTTTGGGTTGGTCACCCATCTTAAGATCGGCCATTTTGAAAATTGCTTAACATTCACGATCGCAGAATGAAAGCGTTACACTTGCGCCATTGTGGTCTTTCGTAGGTAATGTACACGTATATCTTGTATAAAATACTAAATAATTTAAGGCAAAATCTTTTCTAACATAAATAAAAATCCACTATATATAAAAACAATCTAAAAAGGTAAGAAATCTATGTACTAATTTTATAAGTAATACCTACAGATCCTACTTATATCTTAAGTACATAGTCAAATAATTAACAAGATAATAGGTATAGTGTCAGTGATATGCATTCCAATCACCAATTGCAATCATGTTGCAATCCAAATGTTATGTTGACTTTAAATGTAGGTACTTTAGACTTTAATGTATTATTTGTTCCTTTGTTTTATGTGGTTTTGTTTCTTTCTATGAAGCAGTTTTTAATATTAGTTAGAAATATTTTTATCTCCAACTTTTTATAAGCTAATCATATTTCTTAAAATAACCAAACACGAAATAGTACCTGCTGTTTGTAATTGTAAAGTTTGTTTTTATAAATTCACCAAATTTTTAATTGGGATTTGGAACGATCTCGCCAAAAACTGATAGAAACAAAAAAGATAAAAATAGGTTACGCATCTCGGATTATACAATGAATGAGAATAAAATCTTCACAAAACAGCCGAGGGGTTAATTACAACCTCTTACCGAAACCGAAATTTATACCGTAGGTAGGTAGGTACCTACGAGTAGGTATTAGATAGATGCGCTGGATTGTGAATTTACGATGCGAGAAATTTTAAAGGATGATTCACGTTAGACCGTGTCGGCCGTAGCAGAGTTAACTAATCATCATCAGCCTATTAATGTCCCCATTGCTGGGGCACAGGCCTTCCCTATGGATGAAATAGGGAGATTAGGCCATAACCCACCACGCAGGCCCAATGCGGATTGGCGGGTGCTAACGACTGCAGATGCAGCCGGGATCAACGGCTTAACATGCCTTCTGAAGCACGGAGGAACTTGAGATAGAAGATTTTTGGTCACCCATCCAATGACCGACCACTGCGAAAGTTGCTTAACTTCCACGATCGCAGCCGAACGAGCTAATCGTCTGCGCCACCAAACTCATCTAGTTAACTAATATTAAATAATTTATTTTACATGGATTATGGACACAGTCACACTATTCCGGCCGGTAACTGACTGACAACCGAGCAACAAATGAAACAACGCTCGGAAAAAACTTGGTCCCGCCTCGGCTCGGCCACGGCCCGTTGCATGATTACAGCGCCGGCGCGGTGCCGCCGGGCAATCGTAGTGATACCTCAAACAAAACAATAAACGTTTTTGCTACCCTATTAACTTTATCTGAATGATTAGACTAAATCACGGCGCAACGGTACCTACCTAATTGCTCGGTCGAGGCACTTCTTTGTAAATTACAGATCGGCTCGGTGAACATGCTACGGCTGAAGCTCGGCTCAGCACTCGACACGTTCCATCGTCACTGATCATCCTTAATAGATTTGTTAGGTACCAAAATCTAGTTGGTACCTATATTTTAATTTAATCTTAAAAGTGGTAACTTTCCCCATCGTTTTGAAAAAAAAATACTTGGCATTTTCTAAGAAAAATATGATTCCTAAAGTTCTCCCCGCAGATTTATTTTCTCCAAGTTCTTATTTTTCCCCAAAATAGGAATAAACACTGATTGGGAAATCTAGAAACCCTAAGTACCACAGAGTAGGCAAGTGTTCACTCTTTAATATTGATTCATATTTCTCTACAGTAAAATAACAAAGTTATTTTAAGTTTCCATATTTCAAAGATGATGAAGAACAACAAAGAATTACTTAAAATAAGTCAAAATCACTGAATAATAAGTAATTATTGCTAGTTTCAGTAAACCGATAATTACCGGTTCAATGCTTTTACATAATCTGTGAATTCAATTTAGATGCTCGTTTACAGATGTCAACTGTGCTCTTAATTTAGTTAGTTCGCAATTTCAGAATACCGATTCTCTAAACCTAAACTAAAATTAGCTCTCTAATTTTAAGTTTAGGTTTAGAGAATGTAACGCCAGAATTGGTCCCATTGTCTACTTACCTACTATAATAATTAAGGAAACTCATAAAGGGGTAAGTTGTTCTTTATTGTACCTTAAAAATAACTTAAAATATTGTACATCAATTGGACTACATATTTTTTTACTGTATAGCTATATTGTTACAGTTTTTATTTCTACCTTAAATAAACCGCTGGAGCTTTTTGTTGGCGAATTATTAATAATATCAAACCGACGGCTACCGTCGGAGTATTTAGATTCTCCAGCGTTTCTTTTGATGGCGGTGCTAAATTCGGGTAGCATTTCTCTATACGTTATACGAAGATAGCCATTATGCTAACAGTTCACATGTGATAGCAGCATATCCTTATCATGCTCATTAGGGGATGAAAAGGAGAGATTGCAGTCAAATAAACAAAACCAAATATAAAAAAATGAACAGTCTGGTGAATTGCCAGCATAATAGTATCATAAACATCAATTTGAAGGAGCTGTCATGAAACGAATTATACATAAGTAAGTATGTGAATTATTTATATTTATCACAAAATGCTTTATCATTGTCATTGTATGTATATACCTAAATAATGTTATGAATATATTATTATGAATTGTCAGAATGTATTTTATATATAATCTACGACTGCGCTCCTTGAACAGTTTTACATCAACTATTTTACAATTATTTACGCGGTTATAGCACAGCTCTTGTGATTTTCATTAGGTATAAGTTTCCGCTGCCGAATACATTAAAACGTCATGATTAATATGTTTCCGAAGAGTCATAACATTTGTGACATCTAAATAACTTAATAAATTGTTGAACATATGATAGAAGCTTTGGAGCCCATCGTGTTGCTCGGTAGCCAAAATAATTTTATATTTAAATATTACATTCATAGTCATAGTTCAATAAACAGCTACATGGAAAAATTAAGCTTCGATTTATATGAATCTATTTACTCAGTATGAGACCTCTACAACCTGGCAAGTAGGTATTAAAACTAATTTCATGAACTTAGATAGAAACCAAAATACCTACACTTGACAGCTAACCATTGTAACGAAGCTGAAAATTGATTTTATGATTTAATGATATGCAAAATTCATCTTTTTTCCTAAGTACTTCTTAATTTAAATTACTTAAGTTCTACTATAACGGCTATAACAATAAATTCAATTACTACCAGTTTAAAACAAATAAAATAAAGAGAGCTATTTGTGGTGTTTTAATCGATACTATAATAGTCCAAAATTATCCCACATTGAATTACGCATAAACAGGTTTATTGTAAGTCGAGATTAGGCACACATTTTAATTCACCTTCAAGGCACATTTCAAATGTTGCAGAATAGAAGGTATCTACCTAAGTACTTATCCTATGGCAGCGGCGCGTAGCGTGGGTGTCCGCCGCCCGAAGTGAAAGACAATTTTGCCGCCCTCTTATTTAAATAGTTGAAATATTTATATTATTTATTGTAAAATTGTGCCGCTCTCTAAGAAGTGCCGCCCGGGGCGGGTCGCTTCTGCCGCCCCCGCTACGCTACGCCACTATCCTATGGCAGTTGCTGTGGACTATGGCAGCCAATACCATTGCCGAGCTTTACCACTTTTAGTAGGGGAGCCCAAGCGGGGATTTTGGGATTTACTCGAGCACCGTAGAATAATATAAGGGATGGGAGTACTTCACAAGGAGTAAGGTTGTCCTGCCTATGTTATTCTGCCTCGCTCGAGTAAATACCGAAATTCCTGCTTGAGCTTCCCTACTATTTGCACAAATATTCGTGTATGCGCACGACTCGAAGCAGAACTAAATCTATGTATGTATCTATAGGTACCTAAGTGACGAGTCGATGCTCCATAAGCAATCTCTACCAAAGGAGAGGAAAAGCATTGAGAGTTGTACCTACATTTGCGCTAACGTGTTTTAGTACGTTGGAAACATACTCTCCGTTCTGATTCGGTCATTTGTTAAATAAATCATCACCTACAAGCTTTATGAACTCTGAACGATAAAACGCAGATTAGAGATATCTGTAACAGTACAATCCATATGACTAATGCAGTTATGTCACCGTAGAAATTCCTCGACAGTCCCAAATGATCTAAATACTTGTCGGGTCGAGAGAAAATACAAATTATTTTTGTATTGCATGGTAATCGCTCTCTGCCGAACCCGTAGACGGTCTCTAGAATGGCGTCGAACGAATATCTGAAGTAAGAGATATCAGCCAAAGGTCTCAGGTACACCGGCATTTCCTGGTAAGGTATGAAGAATTCGGAGAACATCAGCATTGGTATATTGGCAGCGGGAATCACGAACAAACCCAACTGAAAAAAATAGGGTTGAATTTAAACTTACCATGGTGACTTGAAAGATTAGGGGTAATCGTTTTTTTTAATTAGCTATTTGAGCTGGAAGCTTTAGGGGCATTATGATTTTACTTCTCTAAGGATTTTGAAACTTACTAGTCGAATCAAATCGGACACATAGGGGGTCTTAGTAACTAAGTGTCTACGTAGGTAAGAATGTCATCTGACTATAAAAAAAAAAGTACCTTCACATCGCATGCTGCTCCTATGACCAACCCGAAGGTCTGGGCCAATATGATGAGAAGAATGAGTAAAAGCCAGGCGCATCCCATTCGATGTGGATCGAGTGGTTGAGATGTTAAATACCACGCGGGAAACGTGAATGTTGTTGCGCATAATAACTGAAATTACAGAAATCCACATATAAAAAAAAATATTAACCGGCTATGCGAGTTCCAATAGTTATAACATAAACATCATCATCATTTTCGTATTCAACTAACACGATTTTGATGAAGGGCCCATGGTCCCACGTTTGTCCTTTCGCTCTAGGGCGATTCATATAATATCGATAAATCTCTTTTATTAAGTAAATTATTTTATTTCAAGTAGTTGTTATATTATGAAATGATATTGTCATAATACAATTATTGGTTTATTAAGTATGTGTATAGTGAATTACTAATTTGTAAATCAATATTCACTTCTGTATTCGCATCCTTAATGTATAATTGTCAAAATATCGTTTGAAGTGAAACTTTTCGGATGGGGTGTAAATGTAAAAATACACTTCTGGACACATCTATTGGCCCACCTTAGAGTTTAGGTTTCGATGGCCCCTACCGAAATATGATTGCTAGATTGAACAAAAACTGTTGATGCAGTTTTAAACCTGATACATTTTACCATCTTTTTCGATCGTATTGTTTTAAATTTGAATTCAGAATACCATACGACATGGAGCTACGCCTAACAAGTCGGATATGCGCCTTGTTAAAGGCAATTGATTTTTGAATAAAAAACATGTTTTATCAAATAAAGGTTTAATTTAATAACGCGTGTTGCCTCCATGGGCATCTACCACAGCTCTCATACGATTAGGCATAGATTTTATCAACCGCTCTATGAAATTTTGAGGGATCATCTCCCATTCCTCTTCTATAGCAGTTTTCAACTCCTGCATCGTCTGGGCAACTGGCTGACGAGCCCTAACACGTCTTTTTAGCTCGTCCCACATGTGCTCAATGGGGTTCATGTCTGGGCTTCTGGCTGGCCAGTCCATAACTGTGATGTTCACATCCCGAAGATATTCCCTGGCGATGCCGGCCGCATGGGCTCTTGCATTATCATGCATAAGAAGGAAATTTGGGCCCACATAGTCCGCGTATGGTATCACGTGAGGTTCTAAGCACTCACGAATGTACCTTTCAGCATTTAATGTTGGCAGCCGTGGTCCTGTAACAACCTCAAGTTGAGTTTTGCCGCTCGCGGATATATCGCCCCAGACAGTCTATGAGCCACCGCCATAAGCAACCCTCTCTTCAAAGCAGCATTGTGCGAAACGCTCTCCCTTACGTCGGTAGACCTTCTTCCTTCCATCATTGCCATGTAACACAATTTTAGACTCATCAGAAAAGAGTACACGGCTCCAATCTTGCTGTGTCCAATTTAAATGACTGCGTGCGAAATGAAGGCGCGCTGTTCGGTAGGCTCGCGTTAGTTTGGGCCCATTAGCTGGCTTGTGTGGTACCATATCGCGTTCTTTTAACCTTCTCCGAACAGTTCGAGCGCTCACAGATACTCCGTGGAAGTCGCGAATTTGTTTTTGTATCTCAATGGAGGTAAGGTGACGATTTCTCAAGCTGGTCGTCACGATGAATCGATCCTGCCTTTCAGTTGTGACCCGAGATCGTGGCTTCCTTGGCGACGAACAAAGCCGCCAGTCTCTAGGTACCTCCGATAAACATTTCGGACCGCAGATCGACTTAAATTAAGTTGAGCACTCACGTTTCTTTGGCTGTGTCCGGCCTGAATAAGTGCCACAGCTTGGGCGGCGACTTCAGGTGAAACCTCACCTTAATGTTAAGAATAAGTAATGTTTGTTGCAAAACCAAAGATACCAATCACTTTTCTCAAGAATTAAATCCAAGTAAACCAATAAAACCAAGTTTTCTTAGTATTCGATTGTTTGATATCAACAAACAGGCTCCAAATTGTCTTTTGTTTCTTTAAATTCTGTGTTCGAAATTCAAAAAAACACTATTGAATGAAATTGTGAATGTGCCAGGTTCAAAACTGCATAAAAACTTTTTGCTCGACCTAATATAAAATTTTAGCTAGGACCAAACGAAACTGAAAATACAAGGTGGGCCAATAGATGTGTCCAGAAGTGTACTACGGAAATGCGTCACGTACTCATTCATTCATAAGGAGTCTGGAGTTCAAAAGTTTTTTTTTCAGTTAAAAGCATTAAAAAATTCACAGACGCAGCTACTGAAAGACTGGTCTTCTTCGCCTCTTTTCACAGTTTAATGGCAAATAGTATTCTCCTTTGGGGATCAGGATATTAATAAGATATATGTCCTCCAAAAACGCGCTGTGAGATTCATCAATAAACCACGCGATTCCTTAGGAGAAAATTTTAAAAGTATATAAATTTAAGACAAACGTTTTCTTCCTTAATTATATTTACAAACATTATGTTTGTACGAAAAATTCAACATTCTTTACAAAATTGTCAAGTTCATGACTTAAATACTAGGAATAAAAATAAATTACCGGTCTCCATATTTGGGCTCAGTAAAAGCAGCAAATCTTTTCTTGGCCGTAGTGTTACCTTTAATAACATAATAGCAAACCAGTGAACCAAATGTTCACCAAAACCTGAGTTCTCGAAAACCGGAAGTGCTACGTTACTCAAATCCGGTTTGTAGTCTTATCAGACTATTCTTAACTTATAACTTAAATATTCTCTTTATCTACCTCTTACGGTTTGTCCGCTGAAACAGCACCACAGACAGACGGACGGACTTGTCTAATAGATAAGAGATACCTTAAAAAAGTACATATAGTAAGGCCAATTAAAAAGTCGAGGATTATATAACAAACACTTGTACATGGAATTAGATTAACTCTGCGCTAGAAATGCACTTAATTGTTATTTTAGTTAATATAGGTACCTACTCATATTTTACTTTAATCATTTTAAAATTCTGTTTTTATTTGTATAGATGACGGCAATAAGTGCCTGTAAAGGCTTATGTTGAATAAATATTTTCTGATTCTGATTCTGAATTTGTCGGTGTTTATATTTTTTTATCGAAACCATAATAATCGACCTAGTGCGGTAGGATAGGACCACGGGTAGGTACATAGATGTGGTACATAGTGAGTGTACCGTGGTCCCACCAGTAGGACAGACTGGTGGGACGACGGGCCCTTAACCTTAAATCAACACTGCTAAGGCACATGCCTTCCCTATTGATGCAATAGGAAGATTGGACAATCGGCGTGGCCGACTGAATGCCAGTTGGGCAATTACCTGACTTTCTTTTCTTATTGCCAAATTAGAAGCGTGTATGACGTATGTTTATCTATAAAACATCACTTAAGGCGCATGCTATAATTTTCTGGAAATTCATGTTCAGATACCTACTTAAACAGTACTCCGCACTGGGCCTATGTGGTTGGTCATGGCCCAATTTCCCTATTCCATCCGTATTCATAATGAAGACCTGTGCCCCAGCAGCGGGGACATAATTCAATTAATCTAGTCTACTGATGATATTGATGGACGAAATATTTATTAAACCTTAACCTATTATTAAATAATAAAAATTACTGGATTATCCTTTAACCCCTTACCTGTATAGGTAGATCAACTAGGATTCTTGATATGCAATAAGTAGGCAAGGAATACCATTTGTTCAAGTGTTCTTGGAGAATCACAGCTGCTTCCACGGGAACTGGAAGAAAAAAACGGGTTTAGCTAATTAGAAAGCAGTTGCCCTGATAGAATACAGAAAATTTACAGGTTAGAGTTCCATTTGATAACTCATAACGGCAATTTGCATACCCAGCATTTGCCAAAAGTAAGGGCATAACACCAAAACTAAGTTCTAAGGAAGATGCATCTTATATAAAACTAGTTTTAACGGGTTAATGCACGAAACTTTATTTATTTTAAGATGCATCTTCATAAGTTGCGAGAGTTCTCGAAGATAACTTATTTATAAATCGCGATTAATGAAAATAATTTATATTTTTATTCATTTTAAACGATTGTCCCTACCTATCCGTCCATAGAGATAATCAGTACCTATTTTTTTTTTATTTTAGTTAAAAAGAGTTGGATTGGTGCCATTGTAGACGTAGCCTACGAGTGCTTGTTAACGACAAGTTTCAAAACCGTGCCTAGACCCGGGAAGAAATCGCCTTGTTAGCAAGCGCCCTTCCTAACACACTCAGCTCATTCTCATTCATTATATCACATGCACTTAATCCAATTAATATAAAAAAAAAGTTTGTTCGTCACGCTTCATTCCACTACTATCGAATGGCATATTAGTCTTCTTGTTACAGGTGCGGTCGCAGATTGAAGATTTTTCAATTTGTCCTTAGATTTCGGGGGGGGGGGGGGGGGGTCATGTCCCCTGTGACCACCCCTTTCGGACCGCGCCTGTCTTGTTCCTCGTTTCCGCATGACTGAGCAATACAAATTCAAGTACAAATTTATTTAAACTATGTAGGTAGGTATACCTATTAACAACTAAAAATAAAGAGGTAACTTTTTTTGTATGTTTATGTATTTGGGACCTAAGCTTACGTTTTTAAAAACCTATCTGCAAACGACATACCTACCTCAATCTAGTTTGACAAACTTGGCAACTTTGTCAATTAAAATAAATTGCAGAAGACATCGACTTTGATAACTTAATTAAAGGATTCGCCTATAGAAAGGCTATTAGAGTAAAATATCATTCGTTTTTTCATTATCTTCATCCTTTGCCTTTTTACCCGACTGCGCAATGCAAGAGCGCGAAGCGCGACGCGCATGCAGGGTATAGTGTTTAACAGTCTATATATGTATGTTTGTTCCTTTGTGGCACACTAGAGACCAAACGCCTGGACCGATTTTGATGATTCATACATCAAACGATTCGTCTCAATCATGGGAGTCCTACTAAAGATTTGATAGGAATCAAAATTCAATATGGGGAAAATTAGGCGCCATATAGTGACGAAGTAAAAAAAATAAGTTGACAAAATATGTCGAGTGGGGTATTATTGTCTAGATAATCGAAAAGAATGTTTAGGTTCCTAGCACCATTTTTCATTTTATATGATTGTTTAGGATCTACAACGCTTTAAAGTTGTATATTAACCAATTGCGCTTTTAATTTCAATCTTACGTTTGTATGGATCTTTGTTACTCTTTCACCTAAAAAATACTGAATTGATTTTAATGAAACTTAATAACAGTAATATAGCTCATATATGATATTAACATATATATAATAATTAATGTAGTTATTGAGTGAATTTGCCAAAATAAAACAATAAGTGTCACATAAGACGGAAAAAAATCTCCCTTCTGCGAGCCATTTTGGCCTGCACTGCAAAAACAATAAAAGTTACATGAATGTAATGTTGAGTGAAAATGTATCTCTTAAATAGTTCTACAAAAAAATCCGTGACACCATGTCTATCTATTTTTAATGTGTAAGCCATTACCGCTAAAATAGTGAAACAAAACTAAAATATTATTTGATATCTATTTCCAAAATGCACATTTTGTATTATTTTTTATCAAAACAAATACTTTTATCGCTTTTGATATTTAAAGATGATAAACTTTGCCTTTTACACTATGTCATTTCGACAAATATTTAAAAAGTTACAACGATGACAAAGTGATAGCGCGGTGTACTATGTAGGAGTAGACTGCGGGAATACTAAGACAAGAAATTTAATTTAGGTGTTTATAAACGTAGATAAAACCTAGGTGAAACAGAAAAAAAGGTAAATTTAAAAAATCAAAAAACCCGACTGCTTAATTATACTTCAATTAAAAACTGAAAAGAAAAAAACAAGTCCAGTAGTCTATAATTCTGTTAATAAGGAACAAAACTACATTAACAGTCGGGACCCATTAGATATTCAAGAAAACATAATATTTTTCAATAATAATTAAGCAGTCGGGTATTTGGTTTTTTTAAATTTACCTTTTTTTTTCGTATAGGTTAGAATTACAGTTAGGGCGCCAGCGCCGCAGAAATCTCGCCCAAGACGCAGGTAGCATTAAAACCGGCCCTGCTCAATGTATAATTTTCAGAGAGCCTTTATGGGGCGGTATTTGTTTAGGAATATGTACGGAGGTATATCGTAGAAAACGGTTCCATAGCCTAGGGTAATTTGTAAAATACAGTATTGAAAGGGATTTCAACAATAAGAAATAATGAAACAGAAACATAGGTACATAAAAAGAAAACTGCTTTGAGGTGTACCAATTGTTCACCATGGTTGTGATAAAGCTAAAGTCTGCTTTTTTTCGAGTGAATGGTGGGATTCTTACAAATTTTTCATCGGTAATCAATTTGCACAGCAGCATAAGTTTATGTCGAGTGGATCAGTTTTTAGAAATAAATACCAGCTTTACGCGGTTTAGTTTTACTTGTGTTTGTTGTACTTGACTTGGCTATTCGTATTTTCTATTTGTTAACTCGACGACTGTCTGTCCTTATCATGATTTATAAGTTTGCAAATAGCAAACGCGTATAGCCAAGTGAAGTGCCGACGTATGGATTTTTTTACAGTATTTAGAATCCCATCCCACGCCAGTAGATATCTCGTTTCGATTTTTAAAATAATAAGTACCACGTTTTAAGTTCGATATTGCGGTGGATTTATAATAGAGTTTGAAACATTGAGGATATTATATGAAATCCTCCTGCTTCTAAGTTAAAATTTGATAAACTATAAAACTGCGTATACGCTAGACGAGCCGAGCACGAGCGGAGCGCAAGCCGAGCCGCTCTCAGTGTCAAGTGTGGACGTGCAACGAGCCTACATCAATCACTCTCCTCGAACATAGGTTTCCGGTGTGCTCGTGGCTCACGGCGGGGATGGACGAGTTGTTTGCAGCAACCGCTGCTACTACAGCGATTATCATAGCCGAAGTTAGTAATACAGCTAGAAGGCTAAGACGATGTGGATCTAAAAATTTAATAAAGACAGACAAATTCAATTAATTGCAAATAAACATCTTCTGTCCACGTTTACATGATGCTCCGGCCAGAGAGACGAGCTTGTGTCAATTAACGCGTCCACGAGCGCACTGCGAACGCTACAAAAATCCCTTTGTGTTCGTCAAAAAACCGACAACGGCCGGAGCACGTTCGAACACGAGCCGAACGCTCTAAGCGCGCTCGTTCGAGGCTCATAAACCGGTCCACACTACACGAATTTCGGCTCCGCTCGTGCTCGGCTCGTCTAGCGTATACGCAGCTCAACAGGGAATGTAAAGAATAAGGGTTAGGTAAATAAAGGTCGGTACCTACTTACAAGTGTGAATAGGCGGCATCGCGTTGGAGAAGAATATGAAGAGCAGGAAGAAGAACAGGCAGCCGGTGTTGGACATGATCCGGGCGGCGTCCTCGCCCGCGCCGTTGTACAGCGCGCCCAGTAGCAGCGCCACCAACAAATGTGTCACTAGGCGGATCTGGCGGGGACGGTATACGATTATAACACATTTTAAGAGAGGTAAGGGACAGTACATGAACTGGGCGGCGTCCTCGCCTGTGTCACCATGCGGATCTGGCGGGGACGGTAGATAAAACATGTTAAGAGAGGTAACTCGAAGTACATGAACCGGGCGGCGTCCTCGCCCGGGCTCTGTACTGCGCGCCCAGCAGCAGCGTAAAATGTCACCAAACGGATCTGGTGGGGCCGGTATAATGACAAATTTTAAAAGAGGTAAATCGTAGTACATGAACTGGGCGTCGTCCTCACCCGCGTTTTGCAGCAGCGCCATAACGAAATGTGTTACCAAGCGGATCTGCCGGGAACGGTATATATAACACATTTTATGAAAAGAAAGGCGTAATTAGTGAAACTCTGACTGGGTTCGATCGCGCAGGTTTTTGGTATCGATGGTGCAGGTGGTTAGCGCGTTCGGCCTGCGATAGTGAAAGTTAAGCGAATTTCACAATAGTGGGTTATTGGAGAAGATTGGGCCATGACCCACCACGCGGGCCCAGTGCGGGTTGGTGGGTGCTAACGACTGCAGATGCAGCCGGGACCAACGGCTTAACGTGCCTTCCGAAGCACGGAGGAGCTCGAGATAGTAAATTTTTGGTCACCCATCCAATGACCGACCACTGCGAAAGTTGCTTCCCTATTCCATCCATAGGGAAGGCCTGTGCCCCAGCAGTGGGGACATTAATAGGCTGATGATGATGATGATGATGGGTTATTGGATGGGTGATCAATCCTATGGTATGTATGGGTCTTCCAAAAGGATATAATAGGAAGATTGGGCCGTGACCGTGACCCACCACGCTGGCTCAGTGCGGATTGGTGGATGCTTACAGATGGAGCTGCAGCAAAAGGGCTTAACGTGCCTTCCGAAGCATGGAGGCCCGAGATAACAAATTTTCTGGATACCCATCCGATAACCGGCTATTGTGAAAGTTGCTTAACTTCCATGATCGCAGACTGAACAACTCACTGTACCCCAAGCACGAACAACTAGCGACAAAGTATTCGTATCGCTTTGTCAACGTTTCTATGAAAAAGCCAATTGGTTTTATTTGTTTGGAAACTAAGCACGGTAGGGATGCTGCTTATATTAGTTTTCATAAAAACTGACGTTAGATACGATACGATACTGAGCTGTTTTTCAAAACAAAAAGTTTTAAAAATAAGGAAAATGTCGAGAACATTTATGATGACGGGGTAACTAATGACAGTAAGATTATCAAATAATAATAGACCAAAAAAATATCATTGGGAGTGGGGACTCGTGACGTGACTTCTAAGTAAAAATTGTGCGACATTTGAAATCAATATTATCTGTAATGTTTATACTATGAAGTGAATAAGGATTTATTGATTTTTTCCAAAATTTACCTGATAGACGAAGAAAAAAAGTCAGTAATCTCATCATCCCTTTTAAAAAGGTTTTAAGCTTACACAAAAAGGTATAATTACTTGAGTCAAATAGACGTCTCTTAGAGCTCCTAACGAGCATCGCCAGAGTAGAGCGCTGAGTTGTTGCCAAAAACTTGCTATGTAACCATCCGTTTGCGGTTGACGAATTCTCAAGAGGGTTTCTGTTTCTACGGGCAAGCCTGGAATATAAAATAACAGGAAACTGTTATTCTACTCTCACCCGATCTTTAAGTAATACTTGTAATACCAACCCGGTTACTGGAAAAAAAAACACAATGCAAGTGAAATCTTTAAAATCATTAATAAAAAAGTCTTTCCTCGACTGGGAATCGAAGCTTTCTACCACTGAACCACAGATGTTTGTTGATGTCGGATTTTTTAATGAATAACAATTAAAAATGTAATGCGGCGTGCTACAGATGAATGAAAATATTGTGGTGATGTAATAAAGTAGGGCGTGCGCTGTCTTAAGCGGGAGGCGGACGCGGACATCCGTCGCGGAGATCTGCTCAGTGCTTCGTTGCGAGCACGAAAGGTGGGACCCGCGAGCGCGAAAGGCTAGTGCCTCTCGCAGCGCCGCCAGTACTATTTCGATTGTGTGGGTGAACAGTCGATAATGGATTCTTTTTGTTGATAATACTACCTAAACAAAAGAGAACGTAGACGGGAGCACAGAAGACAGCCAATCGAGCGTGCGCCGTCGCACGCGAGACAGCTCCGCTCACGCAGCGTTGCTCTATGAAATATAATGAAACAAACACGCCGACCGCTCAACGCTGCGCACGCACGAGTAAATGATGAAAATAAATTTCATTTATTTCTCAAAAAACAAAATAAAGGGAAACACTATAATAGGACAGGCAGGTAAATAAATCTAATATCCAAATATGTGAAATTTTAGGTAGGATGTGGAACGCGGTGTGCGTACATCATGGGTATATAATATCGTAGATCTCAGTTCTAAACCAGAATTAAGAAATTGTTACCTTTAGCATTGACTTCGTGCAAGTCGTTTCTCGCTACATTCTTCATCTCGTAAGCGTAGCTCTTTGCTTCAGATTCTAACAGTGCTAAATTTCCAACATGCTCACCGCTTGCAATTTCTAACACTGGAATAGAAACACAATCAATGTGTTAAGAATAAAATTACATTGTTTACAATAAAGTTACGTTTGACCTTCCGGTTATAGGGGTTTTAACGCAAAACTATCGAGGAGCCCGACGGAGCAAGTCGTTAGCGCTTTCGACTGAGATCGTTGAAGTTAAGCAACTTTCGCAGTTGTCAGAGTGACCAAACATTTACTTCCTCGAGGTCCTCCGTGCTCAAGAAGGCACGTTAGGCGTTGACTCTGGCTGCGTCTGCAGTCGTTAGCACCCATGAATCCGCACTGGGCCTGCATTTTGGGTCATGGACCAATCTCCCTATTCCATCCATAGGGAAGGCCTGTGCCCCAGCAGTGGGAACATTAATAGGCTGATTATGAGGAACGAAAACTATAAGTGAGAGAAGTTAAATACGCCAAAGAGGTTAAACAAAAAAAAAAACATAATAATATAGCTAAATATGACAAAAAAAAACAAGACGGCGAAACTTGAGCGAGAGAGATAAATGGAAAACAAAAGACAGAGAAACATTTGAAATGCGACTCACTATAATCGGCCATGTTGTAGTACCGAGGGCATACGAAGCCCGCTCTAGCCAGCGTGTCGGGGATGTCCGCGAGCGCACCAGAGTACAGCGTGCGCCCGTTGGCCAGCAGCAGGATGTCGTCGGCGCTGTTGAAGAGTTGCGACGACGGCTGGTGGATAACGCACGCCACGGTCTTCCCGCTGCGGGCTACGGTCTGGAGAGCCCGAGCCACCGACATCGATGAAACGGAGTCCAGGCCGCTGTCGATTAAATGTTCCAAGCCTTAGACTGGGCGCACATTTATGGTTTCCTGAATCGATTTCCTGACTTGGAATTCCCTAGCGCAGACGCAGACTAGAAAGGCTGTAATTTGGCAAAGACATTAATATAAATACTTTAGAAAAAAATAACTACCTTAAAAATATTAACCTAAAGTTGCGTGTAGGACCCGCAACTTAAGGATGATATTTATTTTTTGCATCTACCTCATAGTTGTAGCTGTGATTGGATAGATCTTTCAAAAATGTAGAGTGTTTGATAAATCAAGTTTTGGAATTTTGTATTTCAATATTATATCCTATAAATGGTATTTTTTATCAGACTTAGGGACTAACGTTGTTTCATCTATAGTTAAATGTTACTATAGGTAAAATACGCCAGAAAAAGTAAACGTTTGGCAAAATTATAAAAAATAATAATGTACGTTTACTTTAGGTGTAGAGAAGTTGTAGTTTTTTTTTCAAGAATTTACTTAAAAATGCATTTATGCATTAAGGTTGTATACATTGTTCGAAAAATCTAAATAACGGGCCATACAGCGGAGCGTGTGGTAAAATTCATTAAGTACGCCCATACATGGCACCGTGCGTATTCTTTACGGTTTTTATTTATTTTGATCGATAATCCTCAGATGCGCTTTTAGTCTACACCTATTTCTCACTTTAATACTAAAAAGAAAAAAGAAGATTGATGCAAAAATAAGATGATGGCTGCATGGCTTTGCCTTTGCCTTTCCCAATAAGGAAGAATAGAACCAAAAAAAGAAAGAGTTTTTGGCGGGATTTCATCGAGAGCGGATGGCGTCTTATTTTAATTATTCTTAAATTCGTTCATAATGGATATTGTGAAATAAAATTGGAGTGATTTTGTGTTACAACCGTCTGCGCAACTGAAGAATTAGTGGAATCTTTAAAATATACGCTATTCCGGTCAAGTGGACGTGAGAATTTTATTGTAGTGTTGACTACCTCACAGAAGCTTACCGGAAAAGCCAACTCGATACATTTCGCGCCAAACACTCCAAGAAACATTAGAGTCACACCGATATTCTAATGTAAAAAAACGAAGATTAATTAAAGACCTGTCTGTATGGGCATTATTCGCTTTGCCTTTCCTGAAAAGGGAGAATCTTAAAAAAAAGAAAAGGAGACGGAAAATGTAGTATTAAATATCAGTTTTCACCGCGCATGCCATTAAAAATAAAGAAGAAGAAGAATTTCTGTTTTCACCAACCACATTTTCTTATTAGAATAAAATTGGTTCATTACTTATATTATGTATAATGTTTTCTCGCAAATATGTTGAAAAAATTTGTATAACATACGTGCGGATTAGTAGACTTTTAACTGATTGTCAATACTTTTAACTATAGTTAGTTTGACCATCGATGTAAAAACAGTGATTTGATAATTTTTACGTTTAGTACTTTTTATGACGTATTTTAAATATAGGTAGTAACATTTAACTATAAATGAAACAACGTGCCCTTAAACTGGGACGTACGTATGGTAAACACATCACATGCATTCTGATCGCCATTAGCACGGTAATATTATCTATACAGTATTGTGACTCGGCCCTGTCCTTGAAATAAATGCCTACGGCCGAGCAGCGCTACGTTACACGCGGTAGGGCCGCCCGTACAGTATTTTAATTTCATCTACACAATTCAGTTTCTTTCTAGTTTTGTGATTGTAAATATTTTATTTTATATGTAATGATTCTCCGCAAGCCCATATACCCATATCGTAGGAATGCATTAAAAATAACTATTCCGCCATGTTGGATTTAGAATGACGTCACATAGCTAACTGTGTATATACAAAATTTCAGCTCAACCGGTTGAAGATATCTGCTTCAAAATTGAGTTGCAAGATTCCACCCGAACAAACATAGTTACATACCTACCTATATTGCAAGTCAATTAAAAGCTTGTAAAAAACCCGACTGCTGATTTTTATTCTTACATATTTCAATAAAGGAATATTATTTTAAACATACAAGTTATATTCATTTGTAAGTCATGGCGCAGTCGGATTTTAAAGGAAATTACCTACAATGTAGGTAAATCTTACTAGGTAGGTACTGTAGGGATCGTTTCATGCAAACTAATTATTGTCATTGAAACACTTTTATTTTCAAGAAATTACATTATTATTATCAATAAACAAAATACTGTTTTTTAAACTCCGCACAAATCTCCCTATTTTATTATTTACCAGCTATCAATTCCGGTCAACAATCCGTCTTTTTTCCAAATTACCTAATAAGCTGCCAGTATACACCAAAAATATCCGATCACTACAATACCTATCATTTATTACTCTCGTAAATTATTTCATTTAATTCAATAATGTATGTAGTTTAGTTATTCAATAATGTACTATGCGATTCAAATAAGAAGGCCAATGACCTCCATCTGTCAAATGTAGCTTGAAAAGTACGGCTTGCGAAAAAATCTTGGAAATCCTTTAAAAACCAAACATTAGTAAACAAACATTAACAAATATTGATAATTAATATTGGTTCATTTTTTTTGCATTTATTGAGCTTTGGCTATGAATGGTTGATAACCTAAATCGTCAACCAAATGTCACGTTAAGTTGCGTTCAGAAATTCGATTTAAAACTTTCGTTTACATAAAGGATGCATGTTCGTATGTGACCTAGTAATAGTGCATGATTTTTCATAACTACTCCGGCGGTAATGCAGAGATGAACGGAATTGAAGAGCTAGATTCTGATAGAAAGTTTTTATCACACAGTCCCAATAAATATCATATATCAAAAATCGGTTGTTTCATTTTTCTATCTTAATAAATAATTTTTTTTTTAAAAAAATGTGATGGTTTTTCTCACTTAATCTTAGTATATAAATTTTATTAAATAAAATCTTTTTTTGCTCACTCCACCTATTTGGTTTGAATTGACAGCTATGACGTCACAATATGGCCCCCAGTCGGTCCTATTAGTTGAATCGCATTTTAAGTAGTTAAGTAAGTAGATAGACTAGTCTAGGAAACTACCTACCTATTATGTAGTTTTGTTTTTAACATGAGTGTAGGTAGATTACTCGTTTGTCTATTTTTTCAACCTATCCACTTATTTATATATAATTCTAGATATTATGCCCGATGGAAAAATCGAAATACCTAAATATTAAAAACAAATTACGTACTAGTAGATAGGTATTTAAAAAGATATTCTAACCTTTCCAATATTTCAGGTAATTTAAAAATGATATCTATGGGTGCTTTATTAAAGAGTTCAAGCAACCAAAAACAGCACAATATCGTCGTTTGTTCTTTGCCATATTAAATTATGTAGGTATCTACTTAATTCAATCAAATATTTACAATACAAAACGCACGTTTAAGCACGGCTAACTGCATAAAAAACAACTCACACCGTTCGGTCGTCGCTGCGGCGTATTCGCGACTGGGTGTCCCCCGAGATTCCCCCGAACTCGAGTGGCGTAGGTATGATTCGCTTTCCGACCGTTTGTATGAAGATAGAATACTGTATATATTATTACCGTGCTATTAGAGACCTTCCTTGGCACTTATGACTATAAGTTACTTTAGACCTGTCGTGTATGTATCAGAGAGTTATGGTAAAGCGCCGGATGAATGAGAAAATAGATTACACTCACACCAGTGACTATAAACATACGCCTGCAGAGATGGATGGTGCTGATTGTAGTTACGAGAAAGGATAAGTGAAGAATGAGTTATAGGAAGCTTCGAAGTAGCACCATTGACAGAAAGATTACGAGTTAATCGTATACGTCAATGGAGTTAATTAACAGACTGTCGTGTTATTTACATGTTATCAGAAAATTATAGAAGTAGACGGTCATGTTCTTCTTCACTTCTTTAAAGGACAAACCTGTGACCACGGTCCCTTGATCAATTCTTGATATTTATTGTGTAGCTGCTAAATATAATGTTTACGACTTACTTAGTCCTTAAACCTGCTCACGCCTTTATTGCAACGATCTATGTATTATTTATGACTGAATTGTTTTTGCGCAAGTTCAATACCTACATGCCTAGGTATACTTAATAAGAATTACGTTTGCGTCCATACCTGTCAGAATAATATTATGGCAAAACACGCAAGGCCATGTTAACTACCTACTAATTATAATTATTTATATATTTTAAGCATTTTTTAATTTACTAGATGTATGAATTTAAAGAAAATTTTCTACAAGAAAAAAATTTACTCGGTCCAGGATTCGGCCTGATAGCAGAAATGCAGCTTCGAATCCCGTCTGCAACCTGGGAGTCTACACTCTTTCTTCGAAACAAAGTAGGTAGGCCTCCTGGACCGTTTTGATTTTTTTCTAGTGTAAATTTTCATTACCTAAGTATTTATTATTTAGATTTAGGAGGGACATCTAGTATTTTTCATGTGGGTTATACCTTTTTTTTTGTTAACGCAGGCAAAACCTCTTTAAACAGACGACGGCGCCTTTCAAGAGGCACACCGCCGAACGGAACTCACACCTGGCTCCCGCAAGCCTTACGAGCCCCCGCAGTGGCTGCCCACTGAGGACCCCATAACTCTTTCGGGCGCTTTACAGTCTAATATCCGCTAAAACCCTGCGAATACCCTCTACGCTGCTTAATGCGAAGCCGCGGGGTCCTCGTTTAGGGATTCTTCCGGGTCTCCGCACCTCAGCAGCCTCCCGGCCTCGCCGGGGCTCCACGAAATAAGTATGTACCTGCCTCCTGAGAAAACATCTTTTGTATGTTCCGCATATACGGCTTGGTCTAGACACTTAGTTTGTCTACGGCAACCAGGGCCGGGCGGTTGGTGACCCATTTTTTTAAACTCTGTTGTGGGGGGCCTTGGCCACAACTCCGCCTGCCCTGCCTTAAATCCGGCTCTGACGGCAACAAGTGCCTATATTTTGCAACCAATGAAAAAACAAGGAGGAAGTTCTCAAGTAGACGCGTATATTTTTTTTTACGATCGCGCATAAGTTTTTACATATTAGTCCGATTTTGATAATTGATTTTTTTTGGAAAGGGTATATATAACCTCGAAGCAGGTCCCACATACATTTGGAAACAAATATCCTACCCTGAAGGTGAGAAAATATGGGTGCTTGTTTACTCACACAGTTTGATACTGTAAAAAACAATTTAAACCAAAATAAAACTTGCGGGAACAATTTTAGCGATCGATCGTATATAACTTTTTAATATACGATCGATCGCTAATTGTTCCCTCTACTCATGTCTTAAGATTATCCATTCCAAAAATCAATATGATTAGGTAACTTGTCTCAAACTAGTTTCTGTCTGGAATATCGTCTGCTCGGTATTCAGATTTCTTTTTGGCATGCTACACTATTTATATTAGCTAGGCACAATATGGCACATTACTTATATGATTTTCTTATTAGGTTATTAGCATGGTAGGTTGCTTATCTTATTTATGTACAATTGCTGGCCTACACTCAGAAGTGGGTGTCATGCGTCTGATATGTTAAGGTAGGTTTACTATTTACTTTTATATGTTCTTACCTCGTAGGTTCGTCGAGTAGCATCACATTTGGGTCCACGAGCAACTCGCAGGCAATGTTTAATCTTTTTCTTTCACCGCCCGACAAGTTACCAGCTCTGGTCTTCATGACGTCCGAAATGCCCAATTGCTTCGATGTGTTGGCAATCTATAATTGTTTGCTTTGTAAATACTTAGGTAGTTAGGTATAGTCACACTGAGGAGCTCGACGGCGACGGTATAATGGTGCGGTTATCGCGTCGGCGGGGAGGGGCGGGTCGAAGGAACCCCTCAACCTCACACCGCGGAACGTTGAACTAACTTGACATGATGACACATAACGTGACTCGTGACATGACGTCACATTCACTGACGTCACACTTTTTCGTGCGTGCAGCCGGTGTTCATCGATTTATAAGACGTTATCACGTCAAACACATCGCCAATATACCAAGGCAGAGGTAAGCCTTAGTGCGTCGAGAAAAAAACATCAGTCATCAAGTTTATTGAATTATTTGTATAAATTAGTATAGGCTGGTTTCGAACCAACGTCTAACGCTATCCGGGCGAACGCACGAAGGCCTGCTTCGTATTCAGCCATAAGTAAAATATATTCAAGTATTTTGTTAGATAATTACATAAAATAGCTTTTTGCTTAAAAAAGTGTATATAGTGTAGATTATTTATCTATGCGAGTTTTCTATTCTTCGAAATAACTGAAGAGATACAAGATAAATTACCAGTTGTTCTCTTTCCCTCTGCAGTAGGTTGGGCAGCTTAAGCCTGGCTGCGAATTGAAGTGTCTCGTCTGCAGTCAACGTGTCGATGAGAGTTGCGTGCTGGCTGACTAAAACTGCGTTCCTTCCGGCGCCGAACATAGCACCTTTTACCCCACTCCTCCTATAAGAAAACGTTAGAAATGTGTCAATCATGATAAATTTAATGGGACGGTCAGGTCAGTTTATTGTAAGTTGAAGTTCTGAAAGTTGAAAATGACTGATATAGTTTTACAAAATCGAGAAACACTGGTTACAGTTCATTAAATCTAAGAAGTACCGTTTGACGTTTCATGTTTTTCAAACTTTGTTTAAGCGTAACTTATTCAAATTCGATAACCTTTTTCGTAAAACCATGAATTTATAAAGGTTTTATTATTGGATCTAAAAATGTACAATTCTTAATATCTAAATTTAATTGAAAACTTTCAAACAAAGCAAAATAAACAATATTTACACAATAAATAAGTTCTAATAGTTCTATTCTTGACCTCATTGCAAAGTCACATAGTTAGGTCACTGCTCGTAGTGTTGCGACTCTTCGGAATCAATTGTGTACGAAAAAATCGTGTACATTATTCGGAAAATCGAATTTATTACTTTCAAATTATCAATTAACGACTTTGTAAAAATACATGACAGATGACAAAATGATCAAATTTGATGCCTCGGTCCATAAATTACTCAGATTACGATGTTATAAGCGCTAGAAGCGCTTATGGCCAATGTCAGACCACGGCCAGAAAGCGAATTTTCGACGTAATGTTTAGGGGTAGAGCGCAATTTAATTTTTGTATAATTTCACGTTACTGCTCGATCGCATAATGCATTTAATACATAGGTACCCTTAAATAAATTAATTTAATTATTTTCAAATAAATCTATATAGGCGAAATAGCTCCAGAAAAAAGATTTTTTTATCAGACAACACTGCCGACCACAAGCGCACGTGGTCCCCCTCGCCCGCCGACAGCAGTCTCTCGCCATCGCCATCTTGGAAACTGACTGTGCGTGTACCTACTTTCTCGTTTGTGTTTTACAATTTGTGACTTGGCTATTACTTTTCTGGACTCTGAACTAAGCAAGTGTTTATTAATAATGTCGAAAAGAGGACGTACTTTGAACAGCCAGGCTTGAATTGGTGGTGAAATTACACAAGTATTTTGAGCGTGAATGTCAAAATGGTGGAGCTCTACTGCCAGTTACACAAGTTCCGGATCGCGTCGGTGAAGCTCTCGATATTGGTAGCCGCACCGTCAGCAAAATATTAAGTGCAAAATATGGGCCTTCTGGGAGTGACAGTAACGTACTTCACACGCCGAAAAAAAGGAAAAGAACTAAACCTGTGACAGGTATCGATGACTTCGATAGCCATGCTATTAGAAACCATATGTATGGTTATTTTACAAGAGGCGAATTTCCAACATTGGCAAAGTTATGTGCAACTTTAGAAGATGCCGGGCTGTACAAGGGAAGCATAGAGTCGTTGAGAATGATAATAACAGGAATTGGCTTCAGATACAAAAAAGTTGACAAACGAAAAATTGTTATGGAGCGACATGACATAATTATGCAGCGACTAACATTCCTGCGCGAAGTAAAACAAATTATAAACTGGGATAATGTAATATTTTTGGACGAAACATGGCTAAATTCCAACCACTCTGTGCCGAAAACATGGACAGATGATTCTGAAGCTTCGTGCTCGATAGTGCCGATAGGGAAAGGTGGACGCCTCATTATATGCCATGCTGGATCAGCGTCTGCAGGTTTCGTGGAAAATTCATTATTAGCTTTCCAATCTAAAAGCACAAAAGAGTATCATGAAGAAATGGATGCGGAAAGGTTCCAAGAGTGGTTCTTAAATTTACTAACGAATATCCCTCCTAACAGCACAATTATAATGGATAATGCCCTATACCACTCTGTGCAAATTGATAAAGCACCAACATCAGCCAATAAGAAAGCAGATTTGGTCTTTTGGATTTCATGTCACTATTAAAAGCTGAATTGTTACATTTAGTGAAATTGCATAAACCACCAAGACCGACTTATGCTATTGACCAATTAGCCGAAGAACACGGGCACAAAGTCATAAGACTTCCTCCGTACCATTGCCAATATAATGCCATTGAACTGATTTGGGCCCAAGTTAAAGGTAATACTTTATAATATAATAACATTTTTAGTAGTTGATTATATTAATAACAAGAACTTGTTCTTAATAAGCTGAAATATATTGTGAATTGAGATTTTCCGTTAAGTACAGTAATACTATAAAACATTACCCTTCTTCTTCGCAGTTGTATAAAATTGTACATTACCTAACAAAATATTGCAAGATTAGCTTAACACATTTTGTAGCCACATAACACGAGTGCCTCTAGCTTTTATAATTTAAAAAATAGTCTAAGTCTCCCACCTAATAATTATATAATTGTTTTACAGGTTATGCAGCAAGACACAGCACAAAACCACCCTTCAGTGTCAAGAAAATGGAAGGCTTATTAAAGGAAGCATGTGCGCAAGTTACACAAGAAGATTGGTCAAAAGTAGTAGAAAAAGCAAAGAAAATAATAATGGACGACTTCGACAAATTCATTGATTTCATGGATAATCAACTAGTCATTAATTTAAATGACGATGATGACGAGGACGACAATGATTCCAGTACTTGTAGTGAATAAAAAAATATCCTAAACATTACTTTTATTTAAATGCTTCGACTTCGACCTTTAGAACCTTAAGATTTTTTGGGTATTCTATCCTCAGATTACTAGTAAAACCTAAATTTACCAATAAACAACTTTTTACAGTAACTTATTTAAAAAATATAGGAAAAGAGTACAGAGAAATAATATCTTAAATTTCGGATATTATGGTCATTGATCTCTTAAAATTCGGATATTATAGTAATCGATCTCTTAAAATTCAGATATCATAGTAATCGATTTTTTAAAACCCATCCCTATTATTCAATTTGTCAGAACTGTCAAACGGTACTTCTTAGATTTGATGGACTGTAGTTTAATTAACTGGACGACTGTCTCCCCTTTTTTCTAGATTCTGCAGCTATAGTCTATCTCAAATAAAATAAATTACAAAAACAGTGCTTTGCACTCTATACGAGCTTACAATTTTATCTCAACCGGATGTACGAACGGTTTAGATACATAAACAGGACAAACATACAGTAAGTAATTACATTTTATATGTAATTATAGGTATAATAACTACAGAATCTAGAAACAGGTTATTATCCATAATTATCTTTATTTATTAATAACTAGGTAACGACTTAGTACCATTAGTAATACTTATTTATAATCAAGTATCAACTTATAATGAAGTACTTATTATAATTATTCAATTAAAAGTAGGTAAGTAACAATACAGTTATCAACAGCTCTACCAACAGTTACTTTATAGTAATACAAGCTTTTGCCCGTGGCTTTGCTCGCGATAATGTTGATTTTGTGAACCAATTCAACAAAACCTTAGCGTGTCGTGAAATGTTGCTCAGCGCCATCTACTAAATTCATCATTTTACAACCCATTTCATAGGAGTTCAAAAAAAATGTATACTTAAAAAACTAATTAATAACAACAATTCTGCAAAGTTAGAAGCAAATCGGACGGCGCAATATAAAGTTTCATACAAAAGTTACCCTGCTTCCTTAACTCCACCCACTATAAGTATTTTGTGGAAAAAAGTAGTGTGAAGTCTCCATTTGTTTATTCTGGTTTACACCGCGGCTCTCAGTCAGGGTCGCAGTAGCATAATGGTCAAAACATTCGCCCGGATAGCGAAGGGTGCGGGTTCGAGTCCCGTCTGTTGCCTGGTCCGCGTGGAATGTTTTCTAGTTTCTTTAAATAAATATATTTAATTTCATTTCATCTACACAACTAAGTTCTAACGGTTCCTTTCTATCGAGGGCCGTAGCTAGAGGGGGGCTTTATGGAGCGATGCTCTACCTTCAAACAGGGTGGCAGGCTTTATTGATGCAAATAAAAAAAAAAAACTTTTTTTTTGATAAAGAAACGTGTAATTAAACTTAGGACCGTTGTTTTTTTAAAATTTCTTTATGTTTTATTAAGGTGCCTATGTTACGTATGATTTCACACTTGTTACTTTCAAAAATTCACATTCTACAAATGCGTTCTTTTAACGTTAACACTTCAAACAAACATAAACCGAACGAGGAATTTGAGGATTTTACCGTTTGTTCGTCAATGTCGCCAATTGTCGAAGCTTGGTTGGTAATTTTGTGTGGTAGTTTTTGAAATAAACAGAAAACTTTAATTTAATGTTTAATGAATTTTGTACTTGTGAAAAAGACATACTCCAGAAAAAACACGCTTTTTCATGTATTGTTTAAAACGTTTTTTTTTCACTAAGCTTAGAAAAAAGAATTGGTTTTGCACCTCTAGGTAGGCTACGAAAACAGGCACGCACCTGCCTGTAATTACCGCTGACCCATCTTATATACATCTCTGGCTACGGCCCTGACTCTCTCTTGTCTTAGTGTAGATTAATCATTGAAACTGACCGTAAATAAGCACTCACTTTCTTCCTGCCAATATCTTCATGAGGGTGGTTTTGCCCGCACCGGACGGTCCCAGAATATACGTGAGCCGGCCCGGTCTTATCGCCCCGCATGCTTCATTCAATATCACGTATTCATGATCAGTTCGCTCTCGTTTTTTTCTTTTCCAAGGCATCCCTGAAAATTACATCATCATTGTAAATTTATTTCAGATTGGAAATTAAATGTCGGTACTTATACCTAAATCCATAATATGTTTCGTTGTGCAAGTGTTGTCTTTTGGAGAACCAATTTATTGGGGCTATTTAAGACTGTTTTTTGAGACTAACCGTTTTCTACTTTGACGAGCTTGGGTTTAAACCATTTTGCCTACTGTATTTTGTGAGTAAATGAACGTTCTTAGATTAAAACAAAAAGGGAAAATACGGTACGCTCATAGAAGCAAATAAATTATGCTCCAACTCAACTACATTAGTAACTCTCACGCACGCACACACACTACTGTAAATAAACATTCAATCGAGCGACCGAGATAGAACTGTACGCTTCAACGCAGTGCGAGCGAAACGGCGAGTCCGCGTCGTTTAGCTTGGCGTCTGCGTTTTCTATCCTCTCTCTACAAACGACTGAGCTGTATTGTTTTCCTTTTCTTGATAACAAATGGCGAAATAAGAACTTTCTAAAGACTAATTTACACGATGCAATTTTCTTGCACGTACAAGAGCAATAATTGAATATAATAAATGTGGCGTAATAATTGAACTGCAACAATTATTGTAAGCAACTGTTTACATGCGGACATAGTAAAAAAGTTGCATACAATTATTGAATGGCAGTTTAGACATAAAAGAATTGCAAATGTCTTTTGTTTACACCAATACAATTATGTTTAGGAGATTATTATTGCTTTCAAGATTTGACACATCTAAACACAGGCTTGTACGTGCATATACCATTTAATGGAGAGTTGTTTCAAGAATTGCACGTACCTATTTGCGTTGGCGAATTTTCATTCAAAAGTTGAACGTTTAAGATCAGGGTTTGTTTATAAACACATAGCGATTTATCGTAATCATGAGTGTTTATGGGACACTTATTTAGTAAACTCCAGTCGTGCGTCGGAGCTGACACACACAATTTTTTATTTTTACTTTTATTCTCACTACACGAAGAAGGCACTCATTTTTTATAAATCCGAATTTGAGTAGGTACCTAATAAACAAAATGTATTCGCGAGTTTGTATTTTTTAGGTCTTTATTTATAAAACGCGACAGAGTCCTAGGGGATCTTCATTTCTCGCGATAAGATTTTTTGATTCCTTATGGGTTTAGACGAATTCTGACTTTAACAGCATTAACAGCCTTTGTAGTTCTAACAGTACACGGCCGCCCCGATCTTTTCTGGTCTTCGACAGACAAAGTGTTGTTGTATCTGTTGATAGTACGATATACGAACATACGGCTGATACCAAGTTTTTGAAGTGTCTGGAATATGACCGACGGCTCCATACCCACTTTGTGCAAGGCGATCACTGCAATCCTATTTTCATTAACACCCCATTCCGTATTGTAATTTGATAATGAACACGAAAAAATATGTGAATTGGCGCAAAAACTAAAGAAGTTTTTAAAATAATATAAGTGTTCCAAATTCAAAATAATTAAAAAGTTGTAAAAAAAAAAGAAAAGTTTCTATGTAACAGTATTTATAGCTAGACTAGTTTTATATAAGTTCATAAGTAATATTAATAAAGACTCATATGAGCCATTTTTATAATGTTTTTTTTACTTTCTATTTACAAAAATATATTTAAAACCATATTTATAAAATGATAAACGTGAAAACTAAAGGGGGATTGTAGGGATCTTGCCATATACTACGGGAGGTCACTTAGGGGGCGTAGGGGGGAAAAATAAAAAACGACGGGTTGCACTCCGGGAGTGCCGGCAGAAGTGAAAACTTAAATATTAACGTTGTGCATTTTTGATATTTTGGAATGGTTAGGGAATAATTTTGCACGAATTTCTTTAGTTATCAGTATAAAAGTACTATCATTTAGGTGGGAGAATACAATAATTATTTATTGCGTTATCGTACACAAACATGACAATTTATATTACATTAAAAAGTTTATCTCTCAGAATTTCTCATTAAAGCGCACCTAGCGACACCTATTGTTAAAAAAATGCATTTTCTTCGCAATAAAGCTGCCACCTGGACGTCCTAGATACAGACTTATTATTATAATACGATAAAATAAAATATTACTATGATTCATCCAATATATTGAAAAGTCAACTACCTTTCCAATTTTATTGTTTTATGCCCTTATAATGTTTAATTATTAAGATGCCATAAAACAAAGGTATTTTTGTACCGGTTTCGAAAAGAGAAACATATTTTTTATTTAGCAACTGGTTTCTAAAGAAGAATTACAATTGTTCTCTTGAAACTTGTTTTGAAAACGACCGAAGGGCTTCATTACCCCTTATAAAGCTAAGTAATTGTACCTTGTTTATTTTTAAGGGCTTCCTTTCTGTACGATTCGAATACGTAGGAACCGTAATCAAAAAGGCTCCGGACAGCATTATATAATAATTTCTGGGAGTATGGATGTGAATAATAAAATAATTATAATAATCTATTTTCTCCCAAAACTTAACAAAAATACACACTATTAATATTGTGGGAGACAGAAGTCCGAAATAGGTAAACCCCATGCTAAGGAATCTTCTGGTCCCCACCTTTCGGAACATAATATATGTTACAGTTCATATGAAATTAAAGGAAGTTAAGTTAAACTTTCTAGCTCAAAATCGATAGGCCCGGTAAAGCCGTCAATATCGTCTTCTATGTTGCTACTTGTCAGGGTTCTGTAGAAATCTTTTGCATCGTTTGGTATAAGATGCAGAATACTTTTTATATCTGACAGTTTAGCCTCAGATGTGGCTTTGCCTGTAGGCCAAAGTAAGTCCATGTCACTTTTGGTTATCACGGTCCTGCTTCTAATATTTTTCTTTAAATTAACTTCCTTCAACTCATCGTCCAGATTGTTTCTCATAAAAATAGAGTACATTTCTTCTTTCTTAAGCACTATTTCTTTGGTATCCAGCCAACTTATTTTAGATCCATCTACTGCCTTCTTTCTGTTTGTGATTTTTGTCTCTAAATTGCGTGACGACATAAAATCTTCTTTGGCAAGTCTGTGTACAATCATTGGTTTAATTTTTCGACAGTTTTTCATGATCTTCATGTAATCATCTTATCAATCATGTAAGCATCATCGTTGCTGATGCTTAAGAGAGCACTCTATCCGGCCAAAATCTGTATCATTGGGTAAAAAGCTGTGGCTAGATTCTAAAAATCGATGATGTATTTCTTTTAGAGTGGGATGATCATTCAATAATGCTTTCAACATTAGGGTTAGTTTAATGTTTCTATTTTGACCCCCACAGGAGTAGCTCCAGAGGAATAAACTCTTAACACCATCTTTTAATCTTTCTGTGATATGTTTTATTAAACACGAACCGACTTCCTGCGACCCTCTGCCGGCCTCCCCTTCCACCCAAACATTACAATGCGCTTGGTCATTACTACCTGTATGGATACCCAGATTATATACCCAAAGCTGTCTTTTATAAAAAACTATATTCGTGGGTATCCTTGGAAGCGGCAACGTCTTTTGAAGATCAAAAGTAATAGTTTCTATAGTTGGGTCATCTTTTGCCAGTTTCATATCTTGTTTGAGTTGTTGTTGCAAAAATTTTGCTTTGTCCACATGCTTTTTGTGGTCTTCTTCAATTTTCCTTTTTTCTTCTTCCGATGCTTGAATTTTTTTGCTTTCATAGTAGTCACAATCGTTGCATGTGTCTTTTTTAAGGGGTTTGGTACGCAGGTTAAATTTTGTGACAAACACATGTCTTACTTTAGAGAAAGATAGCACTTTTTGACCAGCTGATTTAGCTTCTTCACTATACAGATTATATATTTTGGGTAAAGTCATGTCCGATGTCGGTGTGATTTTGGCTCGGCGATAATGGGATATATAAGTTGGTAGTTTCTTAATTATGTTTTCCAGAAATAATTCATTACCTGTTGAAGCCGCATTATGACCCGCTTGTAGCCCTCGCATATCTTTCAGGCAATTATTCCGCATTTTACAAAGAGCTGTGTTTATTCTTTTAGATGATGTTTGAAGTGTATTCAAGAACATTTGTTTGCAGACTAGTATATTCTTCAAATAATATTCCCGAGTATATGTTTTGTTGTTTCTTTTTAAATGATGTCGCGCAGTCGTAACGTATGCTCGTTTCTTAGGTTTTTCCTTAATGCAAGCTATCAAATACATATTTTGGGTAACATATGAACCAAACGAATAGAATTTATTAAATTCTTCTAGTTTTTGTTCAGTTGATACATTTTCTTGACATTTCATTTTCAAACATTATAAATATCGAACGAACCGAATATTAACAAAATGAAGCCGCAGACGCAAGTCGCAAACAGAAATACTATATAGTGTCAGTGTTGCCAGTGTACTTTTTAGTGTGTCCAATATAAAAACTCAAACGCAAAAATATTATTTTATGTATGTATTTTATGTATACATAACTACGTGAGAAAAAGAAATTATTATAAAATAAAATCATATTTTGTTTTTTTTATCTGTCACAAAAAACTCAAATTACATTAGGTATATTAATATTATATTAAAAGTACCAGCGATTAGAATGGATCTTTTATTTTCGTTTAATACTGCTGAATTTTAACACTATTAAGAACTATGCTGTATGGTTCCTTGAAGACTAACCTAATTTGCATTATGCAAACAAGACTTGGTTACTTGGTTTTATTTATTTATAAAAATATTGTAACTTTTTATGCTAGATGGAACCATCGAACATTGGATCTGGTTTGCATAATTAAAATGCTTAAGTTGTAAAGGTACCAAGGATCATGGGTCTGTTTAACAATTAGTTTTAATAAGTGTTTAGGGGACTATGTCGTATAGTTCTTTACAGTTTTTTAAAAGGTGGCCAAAGTGGGTTGGTTCCGCCAGTGACAGTGTTGTATCTCTGTTGTTAGTCGGTAAAAAGGAACCATTTTTTTTGGGAAGATAGAATGCGTGATTTGAGCGCCGTCTATGTACTAAACTCAATTTCACTCAAACTGTGGG